CACACAGAGAGACACACACATACACACACGGACACACACACACACACACACACACACACACCACACACACACACACACACACACACACACACACACACACACACACACACACACACACACACACACACACACACAGAATTTTAATATTTTATTTATTCCACTGCATTTAGTGGGCAGATCTCAGAGAACGATTATAAAACTCATGATAGTATTAATAATAATTTATAATAATATATATATTTAAAATATATTGATAAAAGTTATATATATATATTAACATCTATCTATACAGGAGATATCACACACATTATTTACCGTAATAAAACATCCAACATGAGGAGCCAACTATGACAGTTAGACTAGTTTAAAATATTTAAAAGGAAATGAAAATTATTAATTAAAAGTCTATGCTTTTATTATTTTTACTTTAATTTCCCTTTTTTCTTTCATACACAGTTTTAAATAGTTATTATAATATCACTAATAAAAATGATTATATAAACTATTACTAGGAATGAAGTAATAAACCTAGAATTAAGTGTAATCAAACACTGCACACTATCCATATTACATTATATCCTGTATATTTGACCATACTCAGGCTACTATACAAACACAGGGACTTCCAGTTGTGTATTAAACCACAACGACTGTCAATATAAAAGTGAAAGAGGGTCCTACAGCAGCCAGTAGTTGACCTCCAGTCCTCCAGGGTCACGTTGGCCTCCAGGCTGCAGGCCTTGGCGTAAGCCTCCAAAAAGTTGCAGCCGACCCCATCCACTGACGGGTATCTGCACAGAGTGTGTGAGCAGGCGCTGATGTACGGCTCTGGGTCGGTGTGCTCGTGACAGGCGGAGAAGGGAGGCTGCCTCATGAGATTACAGCTGTTCAGAGGGAAGAGTTTTCCGTGTTACATTGGTTGATCTAGCAGAAACAACGCTGCTTATATGACATGACAAGACGAGGGTCTTCATGGCTCAGCTCTTACTGGTCGGTGGAGCGGTTGCAGTTGATGGTGCTGTCGACTGAGTCCTGGCATTGAATCTCACAGCTAGAGGGAGACAAAGATCATATTACATCTGAATCCTAATCCACATTATGACACATAGGTAAAATCAATCAGACTGAGCGGTACCCAGGGAGGCTGAAAGAGGACTTCTCTGCAGTCGGGGTGGTGGTCCAACTGGAGTTGGAGGGGCTGCCACACAAACCCTCTACAGCTTCAGGAAGTCCTGGTGGATGTGAGGGTACAATTAAAGCTATAATTCAGAAATAAATATTTAATATTCAGTCCAGATTGGAAGTACTGTTCTGTACCTGCCACATGTGCGCTGTTGCCATCAAAAAAGAGAGTCATGTTGGAGGACGGGAACTTAGCGGTGACTCCAGTCTGGTCCTTGGAGAGCTCCACGCCGTGCATCAGCTGAGCTGTGCTGTTGAGCACCACGTCTTCACCACCAACCTACACACACACACACACACACACACACACACACACACACACACACACACACACACACACACACACACACACACACACACACACACACACACACACACACACACACACACACACACACACACAGCATTAAAAGAAATCATATTTTTCAATATCATTCGGTAGTGTTGTGATTGTTGGACAGAAATATTATTTGCTCGGACCTCAAACAGATGTTGGTGTGACAGGTTGTTTCGGGGGTTGAGTTCAAATATGAGCACATGGTTAACTCCTGCCTGCCTCCAGCCGTAGGTGTTGATGCCTGAAAGAGCAGAACAGTGGCTCATGCATTAATACGATAAACACAGCTTCCTTCTTTAGGCCTTAGGCTTTTCTCAATTCTCAATTTGTTGCCTCCTAGACTCCTTAGCTGGTAGCTTGTGAGACGGAAATCAAACTCAGCCCACAATCTGAAGGACATCAGATTCCTAAAGTGCATCTGGAGGTAGTGAGGATGGAGGAGGATATACCGGTGTATTCTCTGTAAGTATTTCCGGCATCAATGATGTTTAAAAGAGGCCTGGCACACTGGAATAATCACAGACCCTGTCAGGTCTCAGCAAATGTAACTGTTCCCCTTGTAACCATGAGTCGTAATTATTTAAGATGATCAAATGTGCGATCAAGCTTTCTTCAGGTTTATGTAGTGCCTCGTAAGAAGCTGTCCTAAGATTCATCGATGACATTTCTTCTGGATTTTACTTGTAATTTTTATTAATTTGCTATAATCATGGCCTGAGGCCTGTACTACGAAGCAGGATTTTCGCTTGGCGAGCTAACTTCAGGGAAAGCTCTGGGTTTCCGGTCCTACGACGCTGGTTCTCTTTTT